ACCTCTTGTAGTTAGAATTCACATTTACTTAACCTAGCATACAAGTGGTTATCTCTCAAAATCCTCAATACAGTCCTCAAATGCCTCGCATACTCTTCTTTGTCCTTAGAATATATTTATATATTGACTAGGACATGACAATAAACTGATCTAAGAATGGATGGAATATGTAGTTCATATAATCCATGAAAACTACAAGCGCATTTGTCAATCGAATGGTATCACTAAGAACTTAAAGTGATCATATCGAGTATGAAATGCCATCTTAGGAACATCCTCTACATTCATCCTTAATTGATGGCATCTAGATTGCAAATCAATCTTAGAAAACATTATAGCTCCTACCAAATCTAGCAAAACATCAATCTTTGGGAGTAAATACTTATTGTTCACTGTCACCTTATTTAGTTGCTTATAATCAATACATAACCACAGGTTGCCATCCTTCTCCTTTACAAATAGGACTAGTAAACCCAAGGGAACATACTAGGGTATATAAACCCCTTCTCTAACAACTCCTTGAGTTTCTTCTTAAGTTCTATCAATTTTGTAGGAGCCATTCAATATGGCTTTTAAAATAGGCTCGATACCAGGTACCAAAATTGATGGAAAACTGCAGTTCCCGCTTTAGTTGTAAACTTGAAATCTCATATACAAATACCTTTGAATACTCACTCACAACTTGAATTTTATCAACATTATTGCTACCACTACCTTTTACTACTAAGAAATCTGTATAAGCTTGATAACCTTTTAGAAACTAAACTTTCAACTTGTACTACTAACAATAACCTTAGCTAACTTGTAGTTATGGTAGAAGTCACGGTAGGCATCATATGAACTAGTAATAACACCATTTTTCTAGCAAAATCTAAAGCAGCATTATTCCCTACTAACCAGTCCATTCCAATGATGACATCCAATCCTTGCATAGCGATCAAGATCAAACCAACAACAAAAGTCTTTCCCCTAAAGCACAACTATACCCCTTTACACACCTTACTGGTCTTTTCTAGTAAACCAAATGGCGTAGACATCTTAACTATGTAAGGTAATTTATGCACAAGAAATTCCAACTTCTTTACACAATCATATGATATAAAGGAATGAGTAGCTCTAGAATCAAATAGAGCCTTAACTTTTTGCTTTCAAATAAAAATTATACATGTAACTAGATTTGCTGCTACTTGAGCCTCCTCCCGAGAAACCATGTACTCTTAACCTGATACTATTAATTACTACTTAAAAGCTCCTTCTTGGTTTCTAGGGCAATCCTTCACAAAACGGCCTATATCACCACATATGTAACAAGCCCAACGCCTTCCAATATGATTCCTCCCACAATTTACAAAAACAGGTAAGTGTGTAGTGCTCATATGAGATGCAAGAGCAGTAGTAGTCTGACTCAGTAGTTATAGAGTTCTAGAATCTTTAGCCTCATCAATTCTCCTGCCCTAGTCAATCACTCTTTAAGACTATGATCCTATATTAAAAACCCTCTTGTATGAGGATCCACTAGTACTAGAATTATTCTCCTTTAATATCTCTCTGTCAGGCCTAATAGAGTAAAGATCACCTATAGCTATCTCTTCTCTTCTTAAAATCATCCACTCAGCCCTGCCTTACATCTATATGGAGTCGGTTACATGTTTCTTTATAAGTAGCCTCTCTTAGTAAGGCTATTTGTCTTTTATACTCCAGTCACATCTTTTCAATCAACCTCTTAGCGTTTCACTTATTATCATCCCACTCATGCAGATAAGTTATAAACTTTGAAAGATGATTGAACTTCTTCATAAAAGCCTCTTTATCCATTTCTCCTTAATGAAAAGCATAGAGCCTAACTTCTTTCTCATCTCAAAATGCCGCAAGGAAATTATAGTCAAAGAATCTTTCCTTGAACTACTCTTAACTAAGTTGACTAATCAGAAGGCCTTATAGAATGCCATTAATGTTTGGTATCTTCTAATAAGCTATAATGTGCCCAACACCACCTTATGCTTAGAGGAACACGAAGTGACTTCAAAGATTATCTCCATACTCTCAATATAGTTTTATGCATCTCCCTCCTTCATGATCCTATTAAAGGTTGTGGATTCAGCAACCGGGAAGTCCCTTAAACTTAATCCATAAGAATCTCTTAGTCTTCCCTACTAGTCTCTAGCCTACTTCTTAATGCTTTAAAGGTTGCTGGCCTACTCAACTATACCTCAAGATATCACTTAATCTCCATTCTTGCTTTAAATTCATGTTTATCCTCTTGCTTTGGCCTCAACTCCTAGTGATCCTTATTACAGTTTAAGGCATCACTGCCAACTATGCTTTGCTAAATGTCTAGCATCACTTCTAGCATCCGTGCTATTATCAAGTTATTTCCTTAAGGTTATTCCTGTGGCACCTCTAGATTTTGCTCATCTTGGGCACTCTAACCCTGTGTGCATTGTGCATTTCTACCACACCCCCTTATAGCTATTGTAGTGCAATTGTAGCTTTACATGCCTTTCTCCCCTCTTAAAGAGTAAAGTCAAATTGTAAAGGCTAAAAAGAGAGTAATGAATGTATAAAAGTTGCTAACTAATGTGATGTAATGCACAAATAGATAAAAACAAAATAAAACTAATACCAAATTGTAAAGTCCTTTAATTCATCCTGACTTTACCATTCCAGACACCCAATAACAACAAATTTTAAAGTTATAGTCTTTAATTTGTTTTCAAAAAGAGGGATCCTGACTTCATAAAAAATATATATACTAATAATAGGGCTAACGAAAGCGTAACTCATGCCCATCAAACAACTAAAATAAATAATTAATTCACTTAAATAGGGCCATGTACCACGGCATGCACTACCATGCTTTACAGCATATGGTATAAAGCGGCATGCTCTGGTTCTATATCATGCACTATGGCTAACACTCCTACATCATATGCCACGGCCTATGTATCAAATTTAGCTATAACAATAGAATTTCTAATATGAACTTCTACCGCGTGTCATTTTCATATTCGACATTCGATTAGAGTGATTCAAGCATCCAGATAAAGCTTATAACATAATCTATCTAATGAGATAAGTTTGGACATGATCCAACGGTCCAATCTAAAGTTGGATACCCAAGTGTAAAAAGTCACTTTTCTTTCATAATATAGTACCCTAAGTCATACCGACCTATGTCATGCATTCATGCATTTAAATAACTAAAGTATACGTTATGTTTAATCTATTATTCATTTATTCAACTATGGCTTACTTTGTAATAATAAATATGGATTTCTCTGTTATTGAGATTGTTGTCTCACCCATTTCTTTTTAATATTTTCAAGTCCAGGCAAAGGATCCAGTAGTGGATGTGAAAAAAAGCAAGGCTAGGGGTTGTTTGTGGATTCTAAAGAACTACAACCCCTTTTTTTTAGCAAATCTATTGTAACGTATTTTGGATTAGGGTGCCAGTAAGATGTGATTATATATACATGTGTGAATATGTGTGGATTGTATGCCCTTATATGAATTTTTGGCTGCTTATGGACTTATGACTAGGAAACTTAGTTATGGTGTGAGGTTTTGATAAATTCATTTAGTAGAACAAGTTTCCATTATAAGAAAATGTTTATTTTAATATGTATATGAATATATGTGATTCTACAAACAAATACAAAGTGGTTGCATTGCGAATGTGTGTTATGGGCAAACATACACCTTGGATAAAGAAAGTGGGTGCGTAGGCCCCAAAGGGATCTCTAAGCTAAGTGAAAATATTTAGTATGTGTATTCATATGTGTATATGGTATTTGGAATGATTTTTGGCCACTCTTGTGTGATTTGTGAATTTTATGGGTTTATGGTCCATTTTGAAAAATAGCATTTGGGTGGTCAAATTTTAATATAAGAGATTTTTTTCATCATTTAAATGTCCTATCAAGTACTCTTAGTCCTATTTGATGTGTCCAAAGTGTTTCCATAGGTTTGTGACCATTAGGATGAGATTTGGACAATTTTGAAAATAGTTTTTACCAAAAAGCTATACTTTTGCATCCGGGTGTTTAAAATTCAATCCAACCATTGAATTTTCTTGAAATTTGGCTTACAAGTAAAATTTTTATAATTTTCATATGGGCTTTTGAATCACCTTGATCAAATATCTGATAGGAAATTAGTCGCTTATCCTCAAAATTACACTAAAGCTAACCCTAATGCAATATAGGGCCAACCCTAGGTCATCTCCCAAGGAATGGTTTTAAGTCTAATTGGAAGTTATCTAGTGAAATAAATCAACCAAAGTTTGTAGGAATTTAGTTACCTAGCTAATTACCTAATGTACAAGTAATTAAAATGCTAGTGAAAGTGAGTGAAATGAACTTCCCTTTTCACAATAATGGAACCCTAGAGATTAGTTGATTTTGGACTCATTATCTTCTCATGATTAGGCTAAGTTTAGCTTCCCTTTCCTCTTGACTAAAGTTGTCATGACTTAAGAAAATTATCCTAAGCCAATTAACCTAATTAGCTAACCTCCCTAGGTCTTAGATTAAAGTCCCTAGTTCAATTAACCAATTGGTGAAGACATTAGCCAAGTAATTCACTCAAAATCCTCTCTCAACAGCCATGGTCAAACACATAAATTGAGCAACCACAAGATTATGTCAAGCTACTCAACAACACAAGCATTAACACCACAAGATTATGCAATATTAACACAAGAAATTCACTAATTGAAAAACACAAGATTATGTGCCAAACAAAGAGTGGCAAAATTTAGTCATGGCTGTCCAAGGGAGAAATAAAATGAAACAATCCTCTCTCTTTACATCAACATCAAATTCAAATTAGAATTTATAAGCTAAGATGATTAAACCCTATATTAAGAAATCTAACCATCTAGTAAAAAGAGAAGAGGATAGGAAACAAAAGAACTTAGCCAATTTGAAGCTCAAGACTCATCCTCCATCTTCATCTCTCTAGGATTCCATAAAGAAACTTGGCCAATCTTCATCTTCAAGAACCCTAGTGATTGCTTGTGAAGGCCAAACTCCATAGCTCTTGAATGATGGAAATGAGCTTCAATCCTTGTGAAAATGGAAGGGATGGAACGAAAATGAAGAGAGGAGAAGAATGGTATGAGTTTTGTGGAGGTTTGGTGCCTGAAAATGGAGGTTAGGGTGCTGGAAATTGAAGAACAAAAGAGAGAAAATGAAGAACACTATGAACAAGAGAGAGAGAATGTGGAAGATGAATGAGATATGTGTTGGATCCCATTTAGGACTTAAAATAAGGAAAAAGAAATTAAAATGTAAATGGGAGCCTTGTCACACTTGCAAGGTGGCAACTTCCTATTGGTTTGTAGATGATTCCAATGTGTGCTTAATTTCTCATGTGTCATCCACATCATTTTAGCTGATTTAATCCCTCAAAATAATCATAATTCACGTGCAAAACATCAGCCATTGACCTCAAGGAGTGTTGACCTCAATTGCCAAATTGATGCACAAGTCACATGCCACCTATGTCACATAAATCACATAATTCAATTAAATAGCATATGATATAATAAAATCTAATTTATGTCCAGAATTAAATTCATATTTAGAAGGGAGAATTTATTAAATTAACCAAGTTTCAGGCTGCACAAAATTATATAAAAATTTTCACACAAAGGCAAACCAAAAACTAGGACAAACTAAGACACTTAAGAAAGTGTTGACTTTTTTTATTTAATTACTCCCAAACTAAAATGAATTTTAAAAATATAATTTCACCATTCATCAACTGGACATAAAATGTACTTTTTCAATTTTTCTTGTACATTTTCTCAAAAGTTCATTTTTTGGACCAAAATGCCCCTAGTGCACTGATCTTAGAAACTTAGGCAAAGTTCCAAATCTAATGCAATGTGTGCACTTGAAGGTCATAAATCATTAATAAAATGGTCCTAATTGACAAATAAAAGTGGGTAACAAATGTGTTCTATCAATATCACACAGAGAAATGGTGTACTCTGAAAGTTGATATGGAGGTGCTATCATGATAGCTATTTAATGCTGTCATGACAGCAAAGTTGCTGAAGTTGCGACATCCACAAATTCCAATCTGTCCATTAGATCTTTTCAAAATTTGGTATGCTAGTAATAATCTTTAAAAGTAATGTGTGGGCTTTAAAATCACTCTGATCAGAGGTCGGAAGATGAAATCGTGCACTCCAAATATTGGTCCAAAAGTGTTATCATGACAACAACTTTGTCTAATCTTGTAAAGTTTTCAAATTCTAATCTGACTGTTAGATTGTTTTGAAATTTGGTACACTACTAGTAATTATTAAAATTGACATGTGAGCTTTAAAATCACTTCGCTCGGAGGTCAAACGGCAGAGTGATGCCTCTCAAAAGTTGGCCTGGGAGAGTTGTCATGACAATAGCTTTTTACTCTAGTTTTGCCTAGCTTGCTTCCGTGATATAGGTAGAACCTATAAATTTTTTTAAAGGTTTCAAATGTTTATTTTGTGATGGTGTATTTTTTTTAGATTTATATGATTTGTTTCCTAAGTTGGTTTTAGGATGAACTCTTTAACCACACTTAATTTATTTGAATTGTGTAATTTTTGGATAATATTCAGGGCAAATGTTGCATTATAAGCCTATGACAAGTTCTAAAATGAAACATTCTTACCATGCAAAGTGTGGTTTTTCCCTTAAATTATTTTTACATTAACTCTAAGAGAAGACAAAGCAAATAAACCTATTAAAGTTGTGTCTTCTCTGGTTGTTCATGCTCTTGAGATTTTGTCACTTAAACAAATAAACATTGATATGCACATGCAATAAAACCCTTTATCTTGGTTTTGTAATCATCAAAATACATGGTTGACACTCTCTCTTCCCTTCATACTCTAGTTATACTTCTTCATTCCTCTAGTGGTGAATTAGCGAGAGTGAGATTTTTTAAGCTAGGCTCCATTATAAGATATTTCTAATGTGATTTGATGTTTTCTAAGACTAAGTAAGTATCCTATACATTTTTCTATTTTCATTTTTCCATTTGGTTTTTAATTTTTGATAGTGAAAAATGTAAATGTGCTCAAGAAGGAGGTGAATTGGGCTAATTAAAATTTTAAAAAATAATGCTTAAATTAAATGAGATAAGGGAAAGAACAATATCACCAAATATATTGGGAGTGAGAGAAAGAGAAATGCATGAGTATTTATCCAAGTTCAACTCCAACCACTCGAGCCTACATCTAGTCCCTAATCTTCACTTGAGATTTTCTACATTAACTTCACCAAGATTAATCTGAGCCCTTGATTGTCTCAATATAATCTCAAACAATAAGTCTAAATTACTTTGCTTTACAAAGGTAATGATTAACCATACTTCTTCTTGAGCTTAAGTCTTCTGTTATTAGGTATGAAAAATAGAAACCAACAAAATAAGTTCACAAAGTGAACTACTACAATGAATATTCTCTCAAAGAGTTTATTTTCAATCAAAGAAATGCAATAATAATAAATGAAATAATAGAAAGTTGGTAAGAAATAAATAAGGTAGTTCGCATAATAACTAGTACAAAATAGGCTATTTAAATCTCCTTTTCTAAACTACTTCCTATACAAAAGGTTTAGAAAGTGGAGGTGATGGTATTTTTATAAATGAATTAATTGACTCTTCTAAGTCTATCTTTATAAATGATTCTATTTATAGTTGAAGTTAATGATAGATCCCTTAGACTTATTAAGTTAGCTATTACTTATTAAATTAGCTATTAGAGGGTAGTTCACACAATTAACTCTTTTGAGTCCATCTTCATAAATGACTTTATTTATAGTTGAAGTAAATGATAGAATCATTAGACTCATTAAATTAGCCATTATAGTTGAAGTTAATGATAGATCTATAAGACTTATTGAGTTTCTTTATAAATGAAGGTGTTGCATAGTGTTTTATGATAGAGTTTATTGCTCAAGGTAATAAAGGAAATAAAAGGCATGCATTGAATTCTCTGACAAAAGTTAGGTGAAAGGAATACCAGTAAAGTAAATGCAATATAGGTAGTATAGAATTAAAACATGATGAAATCTTACCCAATATGTGTTTAGGATAATGTAAGATCAATAAGAGGACTTACATAACTCTTAAAAGTGGATAGAAAAGATTAAATCAAGGACATGAAGCTTTATAAAATTTAGTTGAGAAATAGAGCTTCATAATTCATAGGCATAATACCTATAGTAAAGTAATAGTACCAATAGTATCTTTGCAAAACCCATTACTTCATAAAGCTATCAACACGAGAAGTGGATGAATAATACCAAAGGTAAAGAACTAATATTAACAGTGTTGAAACACTATAGATAGAGTCCAGAAGTTATGAACAAGGAATAATAGGGAAAGTGTCTGGTCAATATGGGTAGTGATAGTAATAGTCATGACTCCGTGATACTAGGTATGTTATGCAACTAAAGAATAGGTGACTCTAAGAAGAATATTGGTAAAATGGGGTTAATTACCCAAGTGATGTTTGCTCTTAAGAAAGCTTAATATTAATAGAGAGACCTTATTACCTATGTAATAGGACACAAAAGGATTTAAGCCTTGAAAAAGAGTATAGGTATTATTAAGAACACTATCTATAAAGAAGAGAGTAAACTAAAGGATTAAAACACAAGGGATTCATGTCAGTATTGGTAATATCCACACAATAACTATAGTGACACTTAGAAAGAAAAAAGAAATTAAGGCTTAGTAGCACATTTATACCTTAAATTCCCTTTCTTAAATAATTATATACTTGTTAAACAAAATATTTTCTAATTTTTATTATCAAAACCAGGATTCAACATAAGAATTATGGTTTCTATAATTTCAAATTTTGTATTATTTTTATGAATTAATTTGAGTTTAAATATTTTAATGTAGTTTGATTCACTACTACAGATATAATAAAATATGATGAGGCTTATTGAACGGTTATATGATAAACCATCCAATAAGCCTATGTGAAAATGAATATTAGATGGTTTTGTTAGCAACCATCCAATATTTTCTAATATATTAGACGGTTATCCTTACAACCAATATAAGATTTGAATTTTGAATTTTTGATTAATTTTTTATTCTTGCTCAGATATTGAACGGTTATTGTGTATAACCGTCTAATATGTTGGATGTATATTGGACGGTTAAATGGATAATCATCTAATATACATTTTACTTATTTACTTCCCTTCCTATTTTCAGATCAGATTTCATCAGTTTCGATGTTCCATCTCCGCGCACCTGAATTATAAGGTTGTAGAGTGGATAATTGACCCTTGCAAATTGCCAAGGTTGCAAGGTCGAATTATAAGGACATTATGCGAACTTGAAATATATTTCCCACCTGCATTTTTCGACATAATGATTTACCTTATTATTCACTTAGTTAAGGAGGTAGAAATTTATGGCCCGACTTATTTAAGATGGATGTACCCAATTGAACATAACATGAAAGTACTAAAAGGATATGTAAACCTGAGGGTTGCATTGTTGAAAGGTACATTAGTAAAGAGGCTATACAGTTCTGTCAAGAGTACTTGAGAGATGGAAAATATGTTGGAATCCTGGTAGATAAGCATATGGAAAGAGAAGATAGGGAGGGAATGAAGGGGATCAAATTAGTCATTATTTCAGAAGCACATTGGGAGCAAGCACACCTTTATGTATTGCACAACTCTAAAGAGGTTGATGAGTATGCAAATAAGCATAAGTCCAATATTAGGAAGGACAATCCTCGAAGAACAGAAACTTGGTATGAGAAAGAACATAATAAGCATTTTACAGGTTGGCTAAAAAAGCATGTTTTTGACAAGTATAATTCCGATCGTAATTCTGTTTCTAAAAGAGTAAAATGGTTGGCTAGAGGTCCAAACATACAAGTTATTTCTTATACTAGCTATGTAATCAATGGATACACATTCTACACTAAAGAGCTAGATGATCGGAGCATAATGCAAAATAATGGTGTAACTCTTGTAGCTAAAGCGATGCATATTTCAAGTGTTAAGGACAAAAATCCTATATATGCATCAATGTCATAGTTTGGAGTCATTGAACACATTTGGGAGTTGGACTACGTCAAATTTAAAGTTCTAATCTTTAATTGTAACTAGGTTGACTATAAAAATGACCTTCAAATTGATGTATCATCTAGGTTCATATAGGTGAATCTTACAAGGCATGGAAATAAAGATGAGCCTTTTATTTTGGCATCACAGGCTAAATAAGTGTTCTATGTTCTAGATCTGCAAAACATAATTGGTCCATTATTTTATTGTCAAATAAGGCAATAGGAGAGATGATTGATGTTGTTGAGGATGATCCATTTGTAGGGATACGCTTGAAAGCAATTTCATTGAAGATGGTGCCAATTACGTAAGACATGATCACAATAAAGGTATCTGAATTTCAAAGAGGGGAAAAAGAATTAAAGAGAAGATTAAGAAATTACATTGGGCTATCAAGGTAGAAAAAGTTCAAAAGAAGTCAAAGAAAAGGAAAGGATCGACTTAATTTTATAGTGACCAATTTTCTTGCAACTTGTGTTTTATTTGTGCCTTGTGTGTTTTAATTTTCTTAATTATTATTTGTTCCTTATGTGTTTTAATTTTCTTAATTACTATTTATGTTTTATCTTCTAACTATTTTTTACTTATATAACAAATAAATGGCTCCCAAAATGCCACCCAAGAGACCTGGTGATTTGACTAATAATTTATTGGATAATCCTCCAAATGTCACCAATACATCCCCTGACCAGCTGACTGATCCACCAATTGACCCGCCAATGGGTGATCATCCCTTTACATTCACCAGTCAGCCTATGGCTATAAATACTCAAGAAACTGTAGCTATATCAATTAGAAAAGGCTTCGTATTGATGGGTGAGGTGAATAGAAGACGGTTGGTTAGATAGAAATATTCTCTTCAATGGAATCCGAAGGGTCAACTAATTAGGACCAACAAGCATAAATTTACTAGCTATATCGGAGCTGTGACCAGAGGGCATTTAGGCTTATCAATTAATAGTTAGACAATTTTCCATAACATCCCAATTCTCCTCCTCCTCACTTATATTCTCAACAAATAAACTTGTCACAATTACAATTTTCTCACACTATGCCTTCAAGTCTTACTCTAACTTTATCACAACATAACACTTGACATCTCAACTTGTCATACCTCAAAACCCTATAATCAAGCTAGGGCTTGATCCAATTTTCACCAAACAACAATTTAACTTTATATTACCACTTATCTAAGGTGAAGAAACTTAAATCAACCCTTTAGAGTTAATAGAAACCTTTCAAACATAGACTTATAGCTTAATCTACTGAAAGCAAATTTTCTCACTTTTAAATCCCAAGAAAATGAGATGAAAAGGTAGAGGAGAAGGGTAGGAAACTTACTCAAGAGTTTCAAGGCCCAATTTATCTTTAAAATCCTCTCAAAATGATGCCCTAGTAGTGTCTAAAGTTTTCCCCTTCATGTTCTAGGTTTCCCATCATAAAAACTGACTTTTTTTATTTTCAAAATTTTAATCTGTTTGTTGTACTGTGCACTGCAATGCACGCTGCACAAGCTGTGGCACACAATACAATGAGAGAAATGTCAATTTTGCTCCCTCTGGTATAACCCGACTTGATCCGACTTCCATCTTAACCCAATTTAGAGCTAAATATAACTCAAGAAGCCAATTAGCAACCTAAAAACATATTTAAATTAATTAACCATCTTTTTAACTAATTTATCCCTTAATTATTCAATTTTTTTTAGATTTGAAGTTTTTAGATGTTATAGTAGAAATGATTCCTTTGAAGACTAATTGCTTGACAGTTTAAATTACTTCTGAATTGGAAATTTTTGCAATCATTATGTTTAGTTGTTTTGAAAAAAAATATCTTGAAGACTAGATTTGATTCAAGTGCGGGGCTGTGATAACTTCCTATTTTGTGCTATAATTGACATGTTGTTGGTTTTATTTTAGGAGTCATCAATAGAAAAGAGAAATATTTTCTTGCTTTTATAAAGAAAAATTAACTAAATGCCTCATGTGAATTTATTGTAACATTTTTAAGGAAATTATTTAAAATGATAAAAATTGAAGTAAACAAATATTATACTAATATTTATTAATTGTGAATAGGTGAGGCATGTCAACATCAAAGTAAGAAAGAGAAAGGAGACAAGAAAAAAGTGCTTTTCAATCTTTCAAAATTGCTTACCGGTGCCACAGGACCACTGAAGGAGTGCCATGGCACCAGACGAAAATAGAAAGGCACAGTTTCATTTTTTATGGGAAATTAACCTAGATAACTTGTCTTTTTGGGTTGGAGGAGGCACCTTTCAGCTGTTGCAACTAGAAAAAACACTAGAAGAGCAAGAAGAGGAGTCTTGGAAGCTTGGGATCAAGAAGAAGTGGAGCAAATCTTCATTTTACCTCAGTTTTTCAGTGTTCTCTCTTCTTCTTTTCCTTTATGTTGATAGATTTGAATTTTGTCTGTGCTACTAAAGTTTTCATTTCATCTATGTGTAGCTAAATCTTTTTGTTCTAAAGGACTATGAACTTATTTATGTAAATAACCTTGGATTAACCATTTAGTTGTTGAGAAATGAAGTTTTAATTACTTGTTCTTGAGCTATTTTGTTCTTGCTTAGTGATTGGCCACACTAGGTGAGATTTGGGCATTTGGGTTGAACCGTGGAAAAGGATACTCAAATTAGACCTTGAGAATTAGTAGCATAGGATTAGTTTACCTAATTTGCCATTAGAATAGGAATGTATCTAATGGACCTAGGTAATCCTTATAGGTTAGGGTCTCTAATGCAATTAACTAATTAAGATAATAAATTTCTTTAATTGAATTAATTAGGATCTGTAGTAATCCGAAGATACTTTGGATTAAGTTAGATTCCTAGATTACCAAAACTAAATTTTAAGACAATTAATGTGGTAATGAGAGGGTTAGGAAGCAAATAAAGGATTAGGACTCTAGAACACTCTTCTTATGGTTGACTTTAGTTGTTTGTGGATTAAAAGTTATTTTAATTAATCACTTTTAATATTTCCATTTTAATTGTTCTAAAATCAATATCTAGTTTTATTAGCTTAACGTGAATGAATTTGGAAATTTAATGCCATCGTCATTTTAATTAATTCCTTGAGGGATCGACCTTAATTTACCACTAGCTTTAATTGTGATCTGTACACTTGTGGTGTCTATTAATTTTTATGAGCATTACTTCCGGCGTGCACCTATTTCCCATACAACGTTTGATCAGAGTGATTTAAGTGCCCACACCAGGCTCACCTCATAAGCTACCTAATAAGATAAGTTTGGATATGATCTAACGGTTCAATCAAAATTTAGACACCTGTGTGCAAAATGCCACTTTTTCTAAAAATTTTATGCACCTAAGGACCTATTACACCTGATTGACCACAGTATAACACAAATATACACATATATCAAAATTTGATCCCTTAACATCCAATTTCCACATTTATGAAGTTTTCACAATTTGTTACAATTTGGCCTACTTGGCATTTTCTCAACACCTATTCATCTATATCTACATTCATAACATATACACAACTCAATCTTAGTTCTAAATTATTCATTTCATCATAATTTCACATATAGGCTAAGATTCACCAAAATTCACAACATTTACCACAAATCTCAACATTTTCTCTATTTCACTACTTAAAACATGCATGCAATCCCTATGGCAACTTATATACACAAAATTCATACTAGATTAGTTTATTACACAAACTCTAAGTTTACATGGCTTTAACAACTCTAAGTCAGTTCTGACTCTTTTCCTTTGCTCTAATTACTACTTTGTCTTGTAAAATATAACTATGGGGATGAGATAAAAATCTCTGTAATAGAATAACTCACTCTTATTGACTATGACATGAAACTATATGAAAGTAAAGCATAGTACCTAGTCAAAACATAACATATATTATACTCTTCACTTTAAATCACATTCACATATATAATTTCACCATATTCACCACTTTTCACCTCTTTTTCACATATACAATATATAGCATGATCACTACCAATCAAACTTCTAATCACCTAAACAGGAAACCATAGGTTCACCTTAGACAAATGTATACTCTCATTGGCCATGAGCTCACCTTTAGTGGTAGAATCACCTAGCTAAAGGTGTTCTATCTCATTTAGACTATGGTTTCTCCCAATACATATAATGGGGTGTCGGTGACTCTAACACCATGTCACACAGACACTAATGAGTCTAAATCTCTAACACCGTACCTTAATAGGCATTAAGGAGATCATCTCTAACACTACAACTCAAAGGCACTAAGGAGGTATCATTCTCTAACACCATACCCCGTTGGGCACTAACGAAAATATACCATATGGTCTTATCACACCACTCCACACAAATGAACTCTCACCCTTATGATCATACTTTTGAACCATTCATGGGTTCTTTATTCATACATATATCCTCAATACATAGCATATATTTCTATAAAATATAAAATCACATATTCTTACTCATTTATTTGATCAAAAACCATTTTCATGCAATATTTATGTAATGCTTTGAAACATGTTTAGTTTAAAATAATTTCATGTAATAGATAGCATACTCACATATAGTTACAATAAACAGCCAACCAGAGAAAGTTATTCAGTTACCTCAACCCTTTTGTTACTATAAAGGTTACCCATGAATTTCAATTACCACAATAGCTCATTACAAGCTTCCTTTCTTAACTTACATGAACAATATGCCAATCTAAACCCATTTGGCACAATTTAGTCATTTGGTCTAATTTGACTAAAAGTACATATAATTACTACTTATGACTACATATAGTCATTGATCCTTGTCTATTTATCATTTCTAAGTCCATTACTACTCGATTACTACTTTACATCACCTCAACCAGTCTCATTTTATACAAACATGATTATCACCCTAAAATCTCATTAAATTAAGGCCAAATAGAGCCTACTGGTTCAAAACTCTATCATTCAACTCTAAATCAGTCACAAAGCTCTAATTTAACTCTTGAGAACCTTTTTATGACCATTGGGTAAGATTCAAACCCTTAAAATTTTACTAATTCAATTTCTCTATAACTCATATTTAGAGAAATTTAGGTAGAATACAAGGTAAGAGTTATATGTAACTTACCGCTAAGTTACTGTTTAGAATCACCTTTTACAGCTCTGAAATAGCTTGCCCTAACACACCCTTCACTTTTCTCTTCTCCCTTACATGTGTTACCAATTTCTCCCTTCTGAAATTTTTGAAATTCCACAACTTAAGAAGTCACTTTTTAGTCTAAGCGTCGCAATGCATGTAGCATAAGCCGTGGCGTGTGGCACAATGAGAATAATTTTCACCACACATACTTGCTTTGACCTGAAACACAATCCTTCCACTTGCATCTGTTCATTTAACATCCCAATGAGTCAAATTATCACATAATCATCCAAATCTCTAATCCCATACTAATTACCATTTTACACCTAATTAACAGCTAATCATGGTATTAATAAATTTAGAATCTTACATTCCTCCTATCTGTGAGATGAAGAAGTATTGGCTTCAGCAAGTACATGATCAATGGAAAGATTTCAAGTCATCATTTTCTAGGGAATACATTTGAGGAGCAAAGAAGAACAACAATCAATATTTGAAATATAATTTCACTGATGAAGACACTTAGAGACAATTCATGAGATCATGAGATGATCTTAAATTTAAGGTAAATTTTAATATAATTAATAATTGACTTAGTTTATTTTTCTTTAGTTTACGTCTTACTTATTTTATTTTTATTCCATTATAGGAATTAAGTGCTGCACATAAAGAGAGATATTCTAAAAAATAAACATCAACATTACTTGTCTTGGGGGGATATAGAAAGTTAGACCAAAAGCTTAGGGAAGTTGATTTGAAGCAATTAGAGGAAGCTACAAGATTTGACCCTAGTATTGTTATTCATCCCCTAGCTCCTCCGACTCATCAAAGAAAATGGAAAGAGGCAAGAATCAAGAAAGGCCAATATATCACTCCGAAGGTTGCTGAAATTGCTCAAAGGATTGTAAGTACTTATACTAAACAGATTAAATCAAATTTTAGATTTTGTATATTTTAAGACAAATTTATTAATTGTATATTGCAGGTTTCACTTGAGGAACAAGCTTCCTAAGGTTCATTTCAATCCACTTGAAGAATGGCTATCTTGGTTGCAGCATTTGGAATGTTAGATTATTTTGGTCATGTTACAAGGTAGGAAAAGGAGTTAGTTTCGAGGATTATTTTGGACCAATACCACAAGGCTCATCAAGAGTTGTATCTATGAGTAGGATAATTTATTGCTTCATGAATAGATTCTTCAAGAGGTCAAATCTATAGTCACCAACATGGGAACTACATAGGACACTAGGATGGGAACTAGGCAGTAGGTGATAATTCATATATTTTACATACTTATACCTCTCTTAGCTTTTTAGCACTTTTTTTTATTAATTCGGAATAAATGAGTAATATTTGTGGTAAAAGGGAAAAGAAATATTTTTAGGGAATTTTTGAGATTTATCGCATATTTTTCTAAATTTTATTGAATATTATTTTTTATTCCCTAATATCCATTTTCCTTTGATTTCACCACCACCACGACTACTACAAAGAAGTATTTTTAGGGAATTTTTTGAGATTTATTGCATATTTTTCTAAATCTTATTGAATATTATTATTTCCATTTTCTTTTGATTTCACCACCACCATGACTACAATAAAAAAAATACTTTTAGGGAATTTTTTAAGATTTATTGCATATTTTTCAAAATTTTATTGAATATTATTTTTTATTTATTTTTTATTCCCTAAAATCTATTTTCTTTTGATTCTACCACCACCATTACTACATAACCAATTGATTTTCTTGTGATTTAACAACATCACACACTCACAAGAGGAAGATTCTTCATTTTATATCCATTTGGTTGGACGCATATCCTGACAATTTGACCAAATGACAATATCATCTTTATTTGTTTAGTTTTGTCATCCCATTAAGAGGATTTTTCTAGGTTTGGCCATAAGACTAAACTCCCTTCTTGTTCCATCACCTCTTATATCTCTTTCACATCATCTCATATATATAGAGATTGCTTCTCATTCTCAGTTTTCTGTGGGGAAAGGAATTGGATTATGATGACATCATCTCTTATCTCATGCTCACACCATCTCTTTCATCTGATCCTCTTCCATTCTCTTTTCATTTTTTTCTCTGTCTCTGCCTTTCTCATCTCTCTCTGTCTCACATCTCTCAATCCTCAATCATGGCCGAACTGTTTTACACCTTTGGAGTTGCAATTAATATTGTGACAAGGCGTTGTAAGGAGCTTCTTGATTCCTAGGAGTGGATTAAAGATTGAATTCATGGACTTCAATGGCTAAGGATTTCTAGACTCTAGTTCCTCTTGATTTTTTTTTCTTGAAATTTTTCTTTTTCTAGTTGAATTAGTGAAGTTGTAATGTTGCACTCATGGTGTTTGATTAAATGCCTTTGTCATTTTAATTGAGGATACTTGTTATTGAGTTGATTAGTTGTTGGAATTGTTACTTAATTTTTAATTTTAATGGTTAATGCATAGTTGTGATGAATTATTGAGTGTTCTTGCCATTAGCAATTATATAGTTACATTTTAAGGCCTTGACTAGTTCTAAATGAGATTAATTTGTAATTAATTCTTGGTTAGGAAATGTATTAGATACTATTCTAATGCAATTAGTCAACCAATAACATATTGAGAGCTTAATTATGCTAATTTAGTTCACTACATGAGTACTAATGGTTAGGCTTGTGTGTGTGACTTTGTTATCTATGTTTGGGATAGTTTTAAACTACACTTGGCCAATGAGAGTATTTTCTTAGCAATTTAATTGTTAAATGAGGATTTCTTCACCATCATACTCCTAGGGATCACTTCAGTTCATTGTTTCACTCATTTTCTCTTAAAACAAAAAATTGCATAAACACTAGTTAGAATTTTAATTTCATTTTTTTATAAACTTAATCACACTAATTTTGGTTTTCATTTATAGCACATTTGATAGTCATTCTTAATCAAGTTTTAATCCAACTTGCTAGGGGATTTGACCTAGGTTGTGCCCTATACACATTATGGTGTCCACTTAGTTTAATTTGGTGCATACACGACTAGTGTATTTTAAATTTGGCACTGTTGTCGGAGAGTTAGATTAAATTGATTTTTAATTGATTATTTAGTGTGTTTAATTTATTTTTCCATTTGACTTTGTCTTTGTTTTTGCTCTGTTTTGTCCAAAAAATTTGTAGAAAATTTAAAAAATTATTATTATCGATTTTGCTCTATTTACTGGAATTTCATTGCTACTGCCCAAAAATCCTTCAAACTCAGTAGTTGGAGGTTTTTGGGTGCGCTAAACAGATTCAATAGCTTTAGCTATTAAGTCTAGTGTTTTTAGGGCAAATTCCATCATTTTCCTTTGTTTTCAAAAATTTCTTTATTTTTTTATTTTTAGTTTATTTTGTGTTTATGTTCCCTGTACTTGTATTGGTTTTAATTTCTTAGACCTTTTGCATTACATTGTGAACTTGTATGACCAGGATTGGGAATGAAATCATTGTAGACCTTGACCCCAAAATTGAATTGACTTTGAGAAAACTTAGAAAATTGCAAATTTCAACTAGTTCTAAGGAAGTGGATTTGCTTGATAATCAATTGGTAATTGAAAACATGGACCCACCACATAACGGACTAGAGGGTAATAATAGAGAAAATCATGGGAATAATGACCATAATCACGAGCATTTACATGGGGATCATGAGGTGTATAAAGACCATATTCCTAGGGAAGAAAGAAGTATTAAAGAGCTTACATCTCCTAATTGGAATATGAATCCATATGGAGTCTTTGTACCTAATAATGATGTGGTTTCTTTTGAGTTCAAGAATTCCTTGATTTATGCCTTGCCTAAATCTCATGGCCTTGTAGGTGAGGATGCACACCGCTTTCTCCACACCCTCTATCTAGTGTGTGAAAATATGAACTGGTAAGAGTTCATGTAGATGATGTGCAAACAAGAGCCTTCACCCTTACTCTTTAAGGTGCCACCAGAGAATGGTTCTACAATTTGCCATCTTATTTAAGGATCACTACTTGGGCTAAAATGAAGAGATTATTTTAGGAAAAATATTTTTTTCAAGTTCTAAGATCGCTTCACTTCACAAGGAAATTTATGGTGTATAGCAAATACATGGTGAGACTTTATACGAATATTGGATGAGGTTTCAAAGACTTCTTGCTATGTTCTCTCATCATCAAATTTCTAGTGAGCATCTTATCTAATTTCTTTACGAGGGCCTCTAACCAAGTGATAGAAACATTATTGATGCAGGGTGGATGCTTGATTGAGTTGACACCACAAAGGGCTTGAACGCTTATTGAGAAAAGGGCATCCAATGGACAACAATTTGGCGCAAGAGAAAGAAGATCTTTAAATGAAATGTCTATGTCCACTTTAAGGGTATCAGATGACTAACTTGATTTGTTAGCTTTAAAAATGGGCAAGATGTTAGCTCCAAGGTTCTCTCAACTGAATCAAGTGCAAGTGCCATCTCAAGCACTTGTGGCTCCTATAATGTCCACCTTGACATTACCAAAATTTACCACACAATCACAACAAATAATCATAATTAGGAGCAATTGCTCTTAATCTCACATTATATATATGTATGTATCTAAGGCTTAAAATTGATAATCTTTTAGAAATAATTTTGGAATATTTGGGATCCCATAAAAATTCTTCAAATTTGTAGTTTGAGCTCAAACTTAATGATTTATAAAGGTATTGGAAACATGGAAAAGTTTTAGTCAGTAAAACACTTCAAAACAAGGCCATGCGCCACATGTATCGTCTCAAAACACTTCAAATGTCATTTTTAAGTATTTTGGCACATGCGCCACAGCTCATGGTCTATGCGCCATGGCATGTGGCACAGAATGGCAAGTTTGGCTGCTGTACCAGGCGCTGTGGCTTGCGCCAAATAAGTTGCGGCGCACATGTCCATGACATGCTGTCATGATAGCTTTTCTGGATCAACTTCAAATGCATGCCATTTTTACACTTGATGTCCGACTGGAGTGATTCAAGTGCCCATGCGAAGCTTATTTAATAAGCTAACTAATAGTACAAGTTCTATTATAATCTGAAACCATATGAGAATTTTAGACACTCAGATGTAAAAGTCAGTTTTTAAAGCGATTTTCAAGCATTCAAGTACCAAAAACTCATAACTTATACCATTAACCCATTTTTAGGCTTGAACCAAATCCAATTGACCAAAATACACTTGATTTAGAATTCAAACACATACAAATCATACAAGAACAA